CATTTTGAATCGAATCGCTAAACCACTACATGTGCATATGTCCCACATAAAGTACTGGGCACATGCAAAGAATAAACGGAATCGGTCCAAGGGATTCTGAGATATGACTCCGGACGGACGGACGGACGGACGAACGGACGGACGGACGGACACACGGAGACTGAATTATAAGTCCCCGTTTTCCTGACTTCGTCCGAACGGGGACTAAAAATATATTAAGCCAGTCACAAGTGATATTGCACGGCGGCCAATGACATGCTTAGTAATTACAGTAGAATATGATACATAGTAAAGTTCCTGAAAATTTCACTCTTTATTTTAAATTCATTAATTCATCTACGGTTTTAAAATACATAATTGTCTCAGACAGCTTGATACTAAGGAAAATCAACGCCAATACTTGAGTTTTTTGAATTTTAACTCTTTGGATACCAACATTTTTATTTTTATTTTTTTTTTTATTTTTAGGTATTTTTGGGTAATTTTGTTGATAATTTCTGGCTACAGGTCTTTTCGAAAAAATATGAAAAAAATTATGCAGGTCTCAATTTGTAAAAAGATATGAAAGTTGACTTTTGCACTGAACAGGTTAAGAAGGTTCAGGCTGAATTGAAGATTATTCGTCATACTTTTTTTATCATGGATTCATGCCATTATTGTACAGAAAATTATAACAAAAATTGGGGTCACGGATATTTTGAGATACAAGGGTTTAAAATGCCATGGAGAATGATCAATATTGACTTTTTATGTTGAGATTAAGTGTACTCTATGTAATCTCAACGCAATCGAGAACAATTATTACTGAGCTTAGAATTAATATATTGCCTCGTCCTTAATTTGTATAAATTCTTTTAGCTAGTCACGATAGTACAATGTTGATAAATCTAAGTTCATCTTTTATGTTTTCAAATTACGGAAAGGGAGATTAGCTGACATATCCATATAACATTATTACTATATTGTATTGATTTTATCTACTTTACATGTATGTTTTCAATTTTTAAGACATTTACGTTGATAGCCTGCAGTAATAAAAATAAATGTTTTATTATTCCTTGGTCAATCAATGACAAGAGATGAAAACGTCATATAGATATTGATCCCATTATTGTTTAAAAATAAAAACATAATTTTGACAGTTTCCATTATGATAATAGATTTCCGTTAGATACATTGGAAATGTCTCTCCCATAATGCATTGCATATATGTACAGTAACATCCTCAGTAGTGCAAAATATAAATTTGGCTATCTATTACACAACCATTTGGGGGGGGGGGGTTTCCCCCATGGGGCATTGTACATAAACTGAATGGAAAATTATATCGGTGTGAATAACTGCACAAATTTTATATTTTTGTTGTAATATACTTGAATGGACAGTTTTAAGGAAACAAAAGTAAGCTACCGTAATCAACCAATCAACATAAATGGAAAATAAACTACAAAACCTGTTGCCTGTGTTGACTATGAATCAAGATACTTGTTTGAAGTTGTCTATTATATAGCAGTTCTGTTGCCAGTAAATACACAGAATAGTTACTCAACATACTAAGAGCCACAATGCTGCATGCTTCACTAAGCAACAGCTGAGACATCAAGTGAAGACATGACTAAATAAATTCCATGTTTAACATCAATTTTAGTAGCTGAGCCAAGAAAAGAGGCAGTTTTATAAAACAAACTTATTCATAATAGTTTAAAATATTCAAATTTAGCAGACTATGCTGGGAGATACTTGCAAATTGAATTCAAGATCTGTGACATACAATACGGTTTCTAACGCAACAAATATAAGGTGTAGTGAGTTAATAATGTCCTATGTGACTTCATAAAAAGCGATCAGGTGCAGGTATGGCAACAAACCAATCATCTTACTATTAAAGTTACATAGAAATAGGGTGGAAACAAATTATAAGTATAAATTTGTACACTTTGTGAGACACCCATTTTTGAGATAAAACATGAAATTGTAGAGTGAAAATTTAAGGGCACCAAGGCAGTCAGGTACAGCATTGAGGCGTTTACTTTCATGGCTTTCATGAATTTCAATCCTTGCACTAACATCAAACAAAGAAATTATTCAGTGTGGCTTAATCTTAAGTGTTACGTAAGAAAATCAGAGCTACTTTACTAGTACTACGATGTTGTAATCGATAATATAGAGACTGTCGCCTAGACAACCGTGAAATGAATTGAGTACCGAGACAAATCAGAAGCATACAACACTTCAGACTCAAGTTGTATGAGAATGCCATATCCCACCAAATTTGTGTTTCACGTATTGTCCATTTTTTTGATAATTTGTCGATAATTTTTGACCAAATGAACATTATTTCTTATTGGCTACTTATAGGCTGGTTTTATTTGTGAAAAAAATTGTTGAACATTTGACAGTTATGAATGTTTGTCGGGTGATTTTGTGAGTATTTTGCTATAAATGATTTTCAGTATGTGCTACCTGTATCTGCCACAAAAAATCAAATGATTGGATTTTGAACTTGAATTTCTTTGTTGTTTTTTTATAGTTCAATGTCAAAATACCTATCATTCAGATAAGAACATAGAATTGAGATACCATTACTTCATAGAAATTGAACATCATCAAAAGTGTATAGCACATTATTACACATGTAAATACACAAAAAATACTTTTGATGCTACTATGACTTTTGTTTGTCCTGTTATTATGTCCGATTTCAAGCATAACACAGGATCTCAGGTTCAAAAAATGGCTTATTCATTAGACTCTTCTTCGGTTCTCATGAAATCTTCATCTGTATACCTTCATTTTATCGGCATCATCAATTATTCTTACCTTTCCATGTTTCACAATATAGTCAAAGAGTTCCCCTCCAGACACATACTCCATCACCATAAATATATCAGTAGGTGTACTGATAACTTGGTATCTGGAAAAACAATAGTCATACGCTATTAGTTGAACCATCTAATTTCAGTTATATGTCATCATTTCCCTTTATTCAATAGACCATTTTCTGTTCACTGTGAGATTCTGCGTTATGCGTGAAATCGAACGTAAAAACAGGACAAACACAGGTCATAGCATCGTAGAGGTGTCAAACATTGCGTGGGATTCGACAAATGCGAACGTATTTTGGGGAATATTTACACGCTTAATAATGTGCTGTATACATTTGATGATGGTCAATTTCGATGAAGTGAGGGTATCTAAACGCAATATTTCTTTCAAAGATCAGCTTTTCGCCTTTGAGCTCTGAAACAATTTCGATTTCAAAATCAAATCTTTCGATTTTTGTGGCATACATATGACCAGCATGTCTTTCGCGCAATACGTGAGATATCGTAGTTGAACGGAAAATCACTTATAAAAGCACCATATTTTTTATCGACAAGGAAAGAAACTATAAACTCATAGTCTTTCTATTGTTCTGTTTTCATGTTTTAAAATTACTTCTATTGACACACATTTCACAATCATGACTAAAACACAGTCTAATAAATCAACCATTCAAAAAAATATAATTATTATTTTTTTATCAACAATTCAATAATGTCAAAATATAATTATAATAATTGAACCATCAAAAAAATATAATGTTAATTTTTTACCAACAATCCAGTGATTTCAAAATATAATTATATGTTCAGTGCCTTATTAAAAGATTTTTTTTTAAATAAATAGACAAACTGACGACATCGCAACTGGCAAATAAAATGATGTGCATATGGTACATGTGATATGGATTAAAATGGCTAATTACCCAAACACACTACCACAGACACAGACACACAGACACAGACACACAGACACACACATAAACACAGACTGACAAACAGGTGCTCCTTTTAAAAACACACGTAAATCTAGATATACAATTCCTGTAATACAGGGGTAATAATCTCATTGATTCAACCAGGCAGTACTTACAATTTGATTATGTGAGGGTGCCTGAATAACTTCAGGTTTTGAATTTCTCTCCTAATTTTTCCAACAACATCTAAACTTTTAATTTTCTGTCGGTTCAGTATCTTGACAGCCACTTTATGTCCAGTAATCTGGTGCTCACCAACTGTCAAAAAAAAAAGCAGTAAATAAACTAATTGATGGAATTGGGATATGAGGCACAAGAGAATTATATTGTCTGCATAGCAAAGCATCATATGATTTAACGTCTACAAAGGTTCAGTTATCTAAATAACAAGCCATGCATGGCACAGTCCTCGTTAGTTATAAAATTTAAGATATATAGTTTTGTTTATAGTAATATAGCTAGAATATAACCATGTCAGGAATATGATTTTTTAACATTAAAATTATTGACATTTGTATCTGATCGTCAAAAAAGTATGTGTTCATATTGAGAGATATTGCTCTGGAACAGCATTCAAAATCAGCCATTTTGAATACATGTTTATATATGATATGATGTATAATGAATATTTAAAATTTGAATATAATCAGTCAAAACAAGTCGGAGATATGGGTCTAGAAGCCCATTCATTAAAACAAAATGGCCACCAGACAGCCATTTTGAATCCAATCTGAAAAATAAATGATGTGCACCAGGAACCTGTAATGATTAATATATGTACCAAGTTTGAACGAAATCCATCCATAAATGCTTGATATTTGATGATTTTTTAGCACAAAAATGGCCACCATTTGGCCATTTTGAATAGGATCGTCAAACCAATATATCTGTCTATCTATGACATGATGTATTTAAAATTCGAACATAATCAGTGAAAGCAAGTCAGAGATATGGCACGAGAACCACATTCATTAAAACAAAATGGCCACCAGTCGGCCATTTTTAATCTTATCTGAAAAACAAAATTATTTGCATCAAGGTCCCATAATGTCTAATGTATATACCAAGTTTGAACAAAATCCATCTGTAAACAGCCGAGAAATGCTTGATTTTGATGATTTTTAGCACAAAAATGGCCGCCATTCGGCCATCTTGAATCAGATCAAGAAACAAATTAACGTGCATATGTATAATATCATTTATGATGTATGTGTGAAGTTTGATTGTGATTGGTCCAGGCATATCTAAGATACAGGTCCGGACGCACGCACAGAGGTCAAAACATAACTGCGTCCGACGGGGACTAAAAATAAACAACTTCAACATATGAACAGAATATAGGTTTAGTCTACTGATAAAGAGTATTTACATAGTGATCCAGGCCTCCATTTCTCAACACACTACAAAGAGCTTTCTGAATTTTTTTTTTTCGATTATGACCAAGAGGGCATGTCATGACTAAAATGCTCACACACATTTGGTGACTAATGCGGCACTCACCTATTGAGCACCAAAGTAATTTTTTGTCACCATCCACAAATTTTAAATCTACATAAATTTTTTCCAAAAATTGTAATCAAGACTTGAAGCCATTTGGAAATTATATCCATTTGGTTAAAAAAATTTCCAAAAAAATATAGAAAAATACTTAAAAACATGCAAAATAGCATCATATTTTGACACGAAAAATTATGGTGCTCAAAGGCCAAATACTGTGGAATACTTTATTTTCGCTGGAATTAATTTTTGCTGAAAAGACTTTTTGGGCATTTTGTATGGAATTTATTTTCACTGATTTTTGATGAGTTTAATGTGAAATATAGGAAAAAAAAATATATTCGCTGGATTTTATTTTCACGGAATCATCCCTTCAGCGAAAATAGCGAAAATAAATTCCAAGCGAAAATAAAGTATTCTACAGTACATGTCTAGTCATCTGGTTGCAGAATCATCTCTATTGTCTGGGTTGTCTGTACTCTGTTTTGTATTTGTATTCAATTGTACTGTAAATCCTTAAAGTCTATTCCTGATCTGTAAAATTCAAAGACTTTTTAAAGGACAATGGGTACAGGTCTACTGCCAGTGGTAAACAATGCACATTGTTGTGAACAAACAAGAAAACAAATGTGCATCAACACGTTTCATCTCTTCACATTGAAACGCATTCATCATGTACATTACATGGGTCATTACAGAGGCTATGGTCAAAATGAGACATAATTTTATGATACAGTATGCATGTATAAATCAAATGTAGTTTTGGTTGATATGTTCTACCTACTAGTCCTAGTTAGAGATGTAGCGCTTCTAATAGGGCAAATGTAGTACTTGAGTTGACAGTAAAAAACTTCATCTTAGGCTTCACCTTTAAAAAACATAGGTCCTAAATGTTAAATGTTATGTGGTTACCCACAAATAGAGATAATCTCTAAATAAGAAGACATTCTCCAAATTAGTATCCAGTATAGTGCTTTTCATAAACCTCCAAATAATAGTTGTGAACAAATTAGGTTAAAATATCAGGAGAAAATTTCTCCCAATCAGACTGTTTCCCTGTATGCAAAAAAAAAAAAAAGGATTTTTTCAAATATAAAAAATTAATGTACAGTTTACTATTGGGCTGTTGTGAATGTGCAGTCATCATAAATTATGCTTTATTTGGTTATTAAAAAATGTCTTTGTATCAAGTAATTGTCTCCTGATCAAGACCTACATGTACATTCATGTTCCAATCTGGTGAATTGTCCTGATTTTGAAAAAGTGCCTTGCTATGACTGTGTCTAATGGTATCTGAAGGGAGTTGAGTAAGTAAAAAATCACACAGAACTAATGCACATTCCAGGGAATACTACAGGTTGTCACCTAATACATGGATCACTTGTTCATAGAGCTGATTGATAAGAGAGACGTCATGGGTTAGTAAGTAAGTTCCTCAGGTTAAGTATATGTTTCAATAAAGCATTTACTTTCCATGAACTGAAAGAGAATGTACTACTAGTATTATCCATGAACCGAAGGCGAGTGAAAAATACAACCCATGACACCAAGTAAATTAATAACTCTAGCTCTAAATAAGTGATATCAGTTGATAACCTTATTTATAACATGACCAACTACAAGTGTCAAATTTGTAAGAGTGAAAAATTTTAATTTTTACTAAACTACAATTACAACTTACTGTAAAACGTGTCTTTTTCGCGAGCATGTCTTTTTCGCAAATTTAGCGAGAGAACTGATTCGCTAATTCAAGATGTCGCTAATGACTTAATTATCAGTTCAAAATGGCCGCCAAACAAAGAAATCAGCAATGACAAGAGAGATTGGCTAAATCAACATTTTGCTATTATGTCATTTTACCACAATTCGCTAAAATTGCATGCCGCTTTTCAACATGTTTTACAGTATATGCTAATGAATACTAATAAGGCTTGGCAACTAAGCATGTTGGTGAACATGTGTTTGTATTTAAATGGCTGCTGAATGGTTTTTGGTAAAAGGCAGAAATAGTACCCTTCAAAGCGATATTTTTGTTTTGTTTTAGTCAGCATCTTATTATATGAGTTGTAATAATTGTAGTCACCCAGTCTGGCTATAACAAAAAAGCTACTGTCGTACAATGTTTATTTTTCGTTTTCATACCATATTACCGTACTCGACCGCGTTAGCGCCCATGCCCAGGCAAGCGCCTACCCCCCAGAGTTGTGCAATTTTTATATTTGGGATCACATTCGATAAAACGCCCACCCCTTCAAAATGCAACAATTTGACTTTGACTGTGTTCCAACAGACTCAAATGTTTTTAATTTCATAAATTCTGGTGGTACATAATTAATATTATAATAAAATGTGCATATTTTTTGTGATCATTTCTGTTTCTTCATTGTGAAAATCAATGACGACGCAACTAATTTCGTAGTTTGATTTTCCCTCAAAGACGTAATCTGTCACTTGATGAATTAAAATTTTGATTAGATTTCTTTTACGAGGGGGGTGCTCGGGTAAGGACCCACCCCTAAAAAATTGTGATTTTCTGAGTTGAGCCCCTGGGCGCTAACGCGGTCGAGTACGGTAGTAGCAAAATTTCAGCTAAATATTAAGACAGACATGATTGCACCATGAGCATGTGATAAATAGTGTATATTACAGCGTAATTTAAGCTACAAAGAAAAAAATTAACTTAAAAATATTAAGCACAGCTATTCAATTCCCGGGATTGCACTATGGAATCTTGGGATACTATTGTTCTTGAAGTATAAACAACAAATCTGTCTATTGTTTATTGATAATAAAGTTTCACTCTCAGCTTGAATGACATTGACACCATTTTGTTAATTGAAAGGTTGAAAGTTCATTGCTAATATATGGATGCCATACGTGATCCGATGCATGAATTCATGTATTTTGATTGGATAACTGTTTGAACCTGTGTCAGTACAAGCTTATGTATGGATCAACAAAGCTCTCAGTTGCATAATTTTGAATTTCTGATTGTATCTAAATTAATCTAACAATAAACTTCCATTAAATATTTTTAGGACAAAAAACAATCTTCATCTTGGGCATTTACGTTGAACGAGGAGGAGGTTGAGGTGTCCAGAATATTTGGGTCAGGTTGTCCAATTTGGGTCAAGGTGACTTAGGTGGAGACAATTTTGGGTCGAGATGTCAGCCAGGGCACCGTCCCTCAACACCGGTGATGAGGGACGGTGGCCAGGGGTACAAATAAACTAGATGCTCTAAACGTGCACCTCTATGGTCAGAGACATCATCACTAGTTACCAATGTTAATATGCACTGAGCTGGTTGTATAATATAAACAAAGATGCAATCAGGTTTATTATCTGAGATATTAGTTCATAATTATTTTTTTAACAATCTTGTGCAAGTCATCATCGTTTGCCGAAGTGATTGGTTCAGGGATCAATCACGCGTTCCTGTAATGAAGTTTAAAGGTCAGGTGACGAAATAGCCCGTAACCCAAGGCAATCGTGATTGGTGCGTGTACTTTTGTCATTTCTCATGTATCGCTATATGAAGGGTGTAATGTGATAAGTGATCTAAATTGTTACTTTGGACTGTGTAGGTAGACAGATTGTCACAAAACAACATAGGGGTCACTGGGTGATTGACCTCGGAGTACTGCGACATACATACAAGTGACATTTCTAAGACCAATATCATTAATATCTGAGAGAATTACGTTGTAAAATTCCGAGTATTCACAGAATAATAAACAATAAGTGGACTTACTTTTCACTTTTCCAAATGTGCCAACTCCAAGCGTCTCCCCGAGAATGTAATGTCCTATCTTTACTCGAGGTACTTCCGTGGTCGCCATTTTGCTGGGGAACTGGAAATTCGCATCGAGGGATTCCTCCCGCAGATTCACATTCGGAAATCTTCGGAGACCTTCGGAAAATTTTTTGGGGTGGTCCTCAACCGTGGTCTCACCCACGGGAGCACTTTCTATTCTCTGCATTACCTGTATACGGCACTGAAATACGAGCGACCAACGCGCATCTGTGGATAAATCCAAACTACAAATGTTACTACTTAGGTAGTTGAAGTTGTCGACAATCCACGAAAATGACGGATTCCGATCACCAGATGGCGCTAGAATCCAAAACTTGAAATTACGTATCTATGTCACTCGTAACGGAAGTAAGACATAACGTACACAACACACGTATTTTATCGCATGTTGCACGTTGGCGCAATCCGCCGTCGTTCTGTGTGATGTATGCTTCACGGGAACATTTAGAGAAAAGGACAGGGTCACACGGTGTAGGTCGGTTTCAGTTTTTACAACAACTCGTCATCGAATTTCAGAAGTCGAAAAATGAAGGTGACAATTATGTTGTTTTTGTGTTTTAAAAGCATATAGAAGTAGGATAGGATTGTGTTTAAGTACTATAATACCTCCATGGTTAAAGCGCGGTGGTCGTCGCGCAGCGCGTGTTCGAATTTCATGTAAATAAACAATGTATTTTACACGCGTTGTATACGTCGCTATGAGTCCCATATCGAACAGGACGCGGCACGACGACTGCCGCCTTTTAATCCTTCTTATCCGACCATCTCTCTTTTTTGCCACAGTGATCTTAACTAGAGAAACAGGATTGGTTCCTCAAAACTTTAGTCTTAAATTTATTGCCCATAAATACAACAATCGCACGTAAATTGGAATACCCGTTATATAATAATAAGTTATGGAAGGAAGGTAAAAAATAGTGTAACAACTACCGGTAATTGAGTCCTGTTCCCTGACGGCTAATCAAGCCCAGTTCCCCGACATCACTGATCGAGTCCAGCTCCCCCAGACCACTTATCTAGTCCAGTTCACCCCAGACTGCATATCTACCGGTAGTCCAGTTTCGGTAGACCGCTTATTGAGTCCAGTTACCCCGGACCACTAATCGAGTCCAGTTCCCTCCGACCGCTTATCTACAGGTAGTCCAGTTACCCCAGACCACTAATCGAGTCCAGTTCTCCCAGACCACTTATTGAGTTCAGTTCCCCCAGACCACTTCTTGAGTCCAGTCCCCCAGACCACTTATCGAGTCCAGTTCCCCCAAACTATGAAACTTTACCCAAGTGATCATGCCTATTCCATTCCATTCTTTTCTTTAGATGATAAAGAACAAGTCCTTGCCAACTTGGCAAACTTTGCATATGATCCGATTAATTATGATTACATACGGCAACTCAATGTTATCGATTTATTTCTCGGTAAGTTTTTAACAGATTTTGCTATATTACATGTATTATGAGCTGAGCTCCTGGAAAGTCTGCAATGGAACAGTATGCTGCATGCTACGTAACATGGTGTCCTGAATTGAGCTACTTTTATGGGTTTTCGCATTGTCCCATATCTAACAATAACAAATACGTGGTATACAAAAAGCTTAGAGAAAAATATCTGGACATCAAATTTTGAAATACCTTGAGCTATTCATGCATGCATCACATACTCAATAATTTCGGATTTATAGAGACAAAAGAGCTCAAGTATGTGAACAATAAATACAATAGTGATTAACATATTCTAGTGTTATGCAAATAATGCTTTTTCTGGGAAACCACTGAAGCATGTTCAGATAGACAGATTGTTGCATACGACTTATTTACCACTTCCGTGTCACTGAGAATGTTCTAGAACCGTACTGTGTCTGGGTGAAATATTCTAGATTTTTTTTAGAAACTGGTTGAATAGGTAATAGAACACTGTAGGAGGCAATAGAAGGTAATGGAACATTCTAGAAATTTATAGTAAATTTCAGACTCATTATGTATGCTGATGTGGGTATATATAGGGGAGTTGTTCAGCACTGAGATCAGATCGGAGATCTCGTTGAATTGTATTGGAGTTTAAGTATCCAGTTATTGGAGTAGTGGAGTTTTACCGTGTTATTGTACTTGATGTTTGCAGAGTATAATAATACCAGTACCAGTTGAAACCTCATCTGTTGGCTCCGTGTTCGTATTTTATCATCGCCGCCAGGGAAGTCTTTCTGTTACTGTTGCCATTTTGGTATTTGAACCATCACACCTGTACTATACCAATCACGGTAATATTACGTTGCGTGTGACACAGATGAAACCTAAATGAATTTCCTCATGTTTTGATTAATTACAGATATGCTTGAAGAACCAAAAGAATCATTTGTGGAGTTTTCTATAGGCGGCTTGTGTAATTTAGTTTTAGGTAAGTTGACCCACAATTGATGAGTTGTACCCAGTCTTTTCTACAGAAATTTGTATTATTTATTCACGTTTTATTTTTATTTTTTGTACAGATAAACAGAATAAAGAATATATTATCGCTAACAATGGTGTGAAGCTTATTATTGACTCATTGTCACGGTAACTAATATTTAATAACGTCCTAACAATAATTAGATTAGATATTTGTCTAGATGTGTTTTGACCATTTGTCGATGTGCCTAGGTGTGTTTTGACCATTTTTCAATGTGCCTAGGTGTGTTTTGATTATTTGTCCATGTGCCTAGGTGTGTTTTGACCATTTGTCCATGTGCCTAGGTGTGTTTTGACCATTTGTCCATGTACCTAGGTGTGTTTTGACCATTTATCAATGTGCCTAGGTGTGTTTTGACCATTTGTCCATGTGCCTAGGTGTGTTTTGACCATTTGTCAATGTGCCTAGGTGTGTTTTGACCATTTGTCCATGTGCCTAGGTGTGTTTTGACCAATTGTCAATGTGCCTAGGTGTGTTTTGACCATTTGTCAATGTGCCTTGGTGTGTTTTGACCATTTGTCAATGTGCCTAGGTGTGTTTTGACCATTTGTCAATGTGCCTAGGTGTGTTTTGACCATTTGTCAATGTGCCTAGGTGTGTTTTGACCATTTGTCAATGTGCCTAGGTGTGTTTTGACCATTTGTCCATGTGCCTAGGTGTGTTTTGACCATTTGTCAATGTGCCTAGGTGTGTTTTGACCATTTGTCCATGTGCCTAGGTGTGTTTTGACCATTTGTCCATGTGCCTAGGTGTGTTTTGACCATTTGTCAATGTGCCTAGGTGTGTTTTGACCATTTGTCCATGTGCCTAGGTGTGTTTTGACCATTTATCAATGTGCCTAGGTGTGTTTTGACCATTTGTCAATTTGCCTAGGGTATCTATGCAAGTGTCACATTTGTATCAAATTTAAAAACTTTTATCATCAGTTGAATAAAAACACCTTCACTATCCATCCTTCAATAAACAAATTATTATGTGATGTACTATGATGACATTGTCACAGATATGCTACAGGAGAATCTAATGGTGTTTCACTTTTTCCTGTCAGTTCAAGTGCAGAGATTATCATATCCGCTGTCACCACCCTAATGTGGTTAATCACTCCATCAACAAAAGCAGGTATGGTGACTAAAATATAATTATCTGATAAACAACAGTTCATTTACGATAGAGGGATTGTGATAAACTTAAGTTGTTTTTGTCATGTTGTTTACCTCAA